GCAATCCTGACTGAAAATTGACTGACTTTCTACTTGTCGTTGGGGTTGCGGCCCGAATCGGAATATTACGTGGAGTGGAACTCTTTGGCTGCCAAATTTGTATGCTGTCCTCTTTTATTATTATGGACTCTTTGTCCAGTGTCTTTGGAACCTCGGTTTGACTACTAGTAGGCGGAAAGAAAACGTCGGGTTCACATTCGGCGGGAACTAGGGCTTGAACTACTCGGTAGGGGTTTTCGGTTATCGGCTTTGTGTCGGCGGATTCTAATGTAGAGGGTTCTATTGGTTCGATTACCCCAATGGGGTAACAGACTACGGCTTCCTCAATAGGTGGCATCGGCATCTCACCTATTGAAATTTGTCCAGTACCCAGTTCCAGACGAAACTTGTGCTTGGCTAGGACGTCCATCCCCAGCACTATATCAGCACTCAAGTTCGGAAAGTGGACCAGTTCCTCGGAAATTCTCTGGCTACCAAGTTGCATCGGTACGTGGTAAACATCCTGGACGCGAATCAAGTTTCCATTAGCTAATCTGGCAGAAGAAGATACTGCTTTGGATTTATGCCCTCTTTGGGAAAGATGTTTCGCTAGTCGGTTTCCAACATAGGATTTCGAAGCTCCAGTGTCGATGAGTGCCAAAAAATTTTCACCTATTATTTCCAGGGCTAGGTGTGGTCGGGGATCGTGTGCGGGTGTGATAACGGATTCTTGAGAGGCTAGTGTCGGCTGAAGCTGTTGGGGCCTCCCTTCCTTACAGCTCCTGCCCCATTTCCCGACTGGCTACACGGACAGTCTTTTGACAATACGCCTTCCTTTTGGCACCGGGAACAGAATATCCTTGCTGGATTCTGACAATGGGTTCTCAAATGTCCTTTCTGTCCACATCTCCAGCACAACACTTCTCCACGTGAGGTGGATGGTTGTGGTTCAAATCTTTGCGGCTGATTACGGACGGTGGGGACAGGTGAGAAAGCGGGTTTATTGTCGGTTGCGGGTGGCTTAGCTTGGTAGAAACGTGGCGGATCGGACGGGAAATAGCGGGGTGACTCGGATGGTTTAAATCGGGTAGACTCGTGAACGGAGTTTCGGATAGGCTCGGATTGTAAAGGATAACGGGGAGCGGTATTCCTTGGAGCGGAGCTAGTCGACGGTATGGCCTGTAATTCCTTCCTTAGAAGTTCGAATTCTCGGACCACTTGACTAAAAGTAATGACATCGGAGTAATCCGTCTTTCGGATTTGCTGACGATATTCGGGGAGCAGATTTCGGTATAGCCATGTTAATTGTTGTTCCTTATCTAGCTTGCCATGTCTCCTCATCAAGGTTTGCAAGTCAATGACGTAGCTGGTTACGCTTTCATTTCGACGCTGCAACCTTCGGCTTATTTCGACCTCTAAGTCGATTTGATAATTAATTGGGAAAAAGAAAGTTCGGAAACTAGTTTCAAAATCTTCCCAGGTATTCCAGGAGGTACGATTACTTCTGAACCATAACGCTGGATCTCCGGATAGTAGTTCAGGTAAACATGGGAGCAGTCGGTCTTTATCAATTCCCTTTGCTGTACATATTTCGTCTAGTCTTTCTAGGAAAGCTACTGGATCATCTCGGTTTCCAAAAGAGACTTTCCAATCGTGGACTTTTATTGGCTCAAGGGTAACGGCGGGTGGGGGTGTCATTGTCGTTTGCTCTAATTCGCCAAGCGGTTTACTCGCCAAATTTGTATCTATGCGTCGCAGAAACGAAACCAAACGTTTTCGCTTTTCCTGTACAGTGCCACTGACAGCGAGTTTATTATTTTCCAATTCTTTAGTAAGCTCTGGATTCTTTAATAGATATACCCAGGATACTTGGGTAGTGGTCGTAGATTGAACCTCTGTTGGTTCTGATGTGTCTGTTTCGTGTATTACGGCGGTCGGTACTATTAATTCCGTAGATAAGTCGTGTACCGTGTCTGTTTTCCTGATGTCGTCGGCAGTTGTTTCGGACATAAACTCAAAGAAGAAGCGAACGCGAGCGGGTTTTTGTCGTTACGGAATGGGCTTTATTAAAGAAAATAAAAAAAAATTCTGCAAGGTAGAAGAAGAGTAATCGGTCTCTTCAAAAAAAAAATGGGAATCCAGGTGGCGTTGAAATTCTGGTACTTAGTTGTGAACGGTTTGTCAAGTTCTAATTTACTATACTTTTACGGCTAGTCAATGTTATCTGGTTTATTACTGGTCTATAAAAACTAGAGAAAAAAAGTTTCTAATTTACAGGGGAGCGGACTAGATTACGTACTATACGTACAGGGATTTGAAAGAGACGGGGTTAAGAAAAAAATAAAGCAAGACAGAAAAAGAATTTGATGCGGCAGGGCGGAAATAGCAAGGGATTACCTATCGGGAAGTAACTAGGTAACCAGGTAACCAGGTCCCTGCGCGGGCGCCAAATTTGTAAGGGGTTTTCTCGCCTCAGAGAAAACGGTTCCTTACGAATGACGCTGGTTACGGACGGTTCTCGAGCGCCAGATTTTTGGTGATGGTTTACTCCACAAACTCTCGAAACAGCGTCGAAAGTACTCGGGCAGCACAGATGGAGATGAAAAATTCCAGGGGTCAAAGGTTACTTAGACACAGGTAATAGTAGGCCACAAGTAACGGGCTTTAATCGTTGCTTGGGTTGGTACAGAATTAATCACTAGCTGAAATATAAGGGGGAAATAAATTTAGGAATTAACAACCAGTAATACGGCAGGTTAACATTGACACATATATTGTGGTTAACTATTTACAATAAAAAAAAAATAAATTAAATATTTCAACGCCCACCCTCACGGTAATATGTACAAACCCTGAACAAAAATAAACAAACAAAACGGACGGAAATGACTTTCGAGTAGTCTCAATCAGACGTAAAGAAAAAAAAATGAAATCAATACTTATAATTATCACGGTCGCAGTAAAAGTTTATTATTGAATTGTTTATTCTGTTGTTGAGTTAAAAATGCAATTTGCTATTTCATTCGGCAGTATTATTTCGGTCGTAGCAAAAATTAACTGTTAAATTTTCTAATCGGTATTTACAATCAAATGTAATTGAATGCTTCAGTAAAACAAAATATCATATTGGTTGCAGAGAATGCGAGGAGACAGGTTCGGGATAATACTAATTCCAGAGCTGAAACCGGGACCCTATAAGAGGTTTACTCACTAGTGGTTGGAAAGTAAAACCAACTAACAACCGGGATAGTACATTATCCCTGAGTGAACCGATCGTAATCACGAGCCGCTTCAAACTGGGGAATGATACTATTTAATGTCAATTGAATAACGGAGTTTTACATAAAACAAATTTAATAACCGGGATAGCACACTATCTCTGAATGAGGCGATCGTAATCACGAGCCGCTTCAGACAGGGGAATGATACTATTTGAGTTCATTTACAATAACGGAGACTAACGCAAATGAGGGTTTCAGACGGAAAATAAACTAATAACCGGGATAGCACATTATCTCTGAATGAGACGATCGTAATCACGAGCCGCTTCAGACAGGGGAATGATACTATTTTAGTTCTGTTGAAATAACGGAGACCTAACGCAAATGAATTTTTAGATATAGAATGAACTAATAGCCGGGATAACACCTTATCTCTGGATGAAGCGATCGTAATCTCGAGCCGCTTCAAACTGGGAATGATGCTATTTAAATTTTCTTAAAATTTGCAGTTCGGAGAATAAAACAAAAGAAAATGCCTCGTCGCAATTCTACAAATATAACCAATCAAAACATTAGGCAATTCCCAAACAGTTCCAATTAATTATTTATTGGATAATGTTTTTAATAAACTGTATTATTTGTTCACGAAAATTTCTTGCAGTAGGAAAAATTGACTATAAGACTATATTTACGATTAAATGAAAAATAAACTAATTAACGGTTAAGCCTTCAAATAAACTAAAATGAAATGTATAATTAATTCACATAAATTTCCAGTAGTAGGAAAAATTAACTATACGACTATGTTTACAATCGAATGTAAAATAAATTGTTTAACGGTCAAAACTTTAAATAAACTAAAATGAAATGTATTATTTATTAACGGAAATTTCCAGTAGTAGGAAAAATTAACTATACGACTATATCTACGATTTAATCAAAAAAATTAAATTGTTTAACACTCAAAACTTTAAATAAACTAAAATGAAATTTATTATTTACGGAAATTTCCAGTAGTAGGAAAAATTAACTATACGACTATATTTACAATCGAATGTAAAATAAATTGTTTAACGGTCAAAACTTAAAATAAACTAAAATGAAATGTATTATTTATTAACGGAAATTTCCAGTAGTAGGAAAAATTAACTATACGACTATATCTACGATTGAAATAAAAAAAATAAATTGTTTAACGCTCAAAACTTTAAATAAACTAAAATGAAATTTATTAAGAACGGTGTATTCTAACAAGAATAAATTAAAGTATTTTTAAATCAAAACAAATGAAATCCTAACTCAACACGGAATAAATAAAATTAAATCGGTTTCAAATAGCACGGCTTAAAGTCTCGGGCACGAAAGAAATTATCAAAAAAAAAACTATCAACAAACTTTACCTCGCGGCGTGAAATAAATTTTCGGTATCGTAGGTATTTAGCGTTTAATCGACTATTAGATTTAACGGTGTCAAAGCAAGTCTGTTCGATAAATCGGTATTTTAGGAACTAAAAATTTCAATTCAATCTCGGACCACGTTTAGTCGTCGCATGCCCTACTACATCAGAAAATCCCACCATTAAAACGCGCGCAGGCACAGTACCTCGACGATGGTTTGAACAGCGATAAAACTGATGATATACAGGGCATATCCACGAAGTTGAAATTAATTGAAAATCGAAATTAATACCCGGAATTAATTAATAATAATAATAATGAAAATTGACTTCATTACAGTTTATAAAAAAATGGAGAATTCAGTAGTACTTGGTAAGCTTCATCTACGTCCAAAATAAATTAATGAGAACTATTCTCTTATTTCATCTGATGTTTATTTTAGAATTGCAAGATTTTTTAATAATACCAAACAGCGAAGAAAGACACCCACTATCCACTTTACAACCCCAAGTAATAGCTAGTAGTTCTACTTCGAGTAATTACTCAAACTCAACACCTGAGTTTAAATGGACTGTCAATGAAACAAAAATGCTCATCGATATGTATAGCAAATACAAGAACAAAGTTGGCACATTTGAAATAAAAAATCAAAAAATGCTGTGGGAAAAATTTTCCGAGGAGTTACGAAAATTGGGCCTAAGAGGTACAGCTAATAATTGTCTGAATCGATGGAGGGTGTTTGAGAGAAACTACAAAAAATTCGTGGATAACCAGAATAAAACAGGTATGTAATAATAAAAGTTCATAAATACTTAAGAACCTACTTATGTTTTAAGACTTTTTAAGGACTGTCTGACAAAAATCTTCATTACTGCTCCAACAAATACTCAAAAATGTTGAAACATTTTTTAGATTAATCTTTCGATTAAATTTGGCAAGAATTTGTGTTCATTAATTTCAATACGATACACCATGGACATTATTTAAAATAATTGAATGAGTGCAAATGCATGTATAAAGTAATAAAAAATATTGGTTAGACGGGCCATATCTCTTATTATTCGGATTCTAGACTTCATTTTGCAAGAAGTGTATATGAATAAAACATTATTTAATAATATTAACAAAATATTTTTTTATTAATTACAGGTAGAGGTCGTAAACATTTCGAATATAAAGCCGAAATGGTGGAAATATTTGGAAAAAAAGAATATCAACCCAGAGATTTTGCTTGACAGCAATACAATAGATTCTTTTATTGAAACAACTTGTGAGGAGGAACTATTCATAGAATCCAAAACAGCAACCCAGAATATTACCCCTAAGGTGATCCAAACACCGAAGGCCTCTTCTGTAGCATCAAGGAGATTACGACCCATAGCTTAAAAAAGTACAATGGAAAAAATTCGGCAGGATCGGAAAGATTATTACGAGGCAAAGCTTCAAATCGAAAGAGAAAAACTTAAAGAAATGAAAAACAGAAATAATTTAATTTCAGAAAGAAATCAAATTCTAAAAGAATTTAAATGTAACCGCCAGTTTACTTCAATCTTATGATTAAATTTTTGTTTCAATGTCAAAAAGTAATACTTTGTTTTTTTTTGTAGTTTCGATACTTATTTTTAAGCATTTACTGTTTTTTATTTGTTTCGTTACCAGAAAGTGTTCTTATTTTTGTTTTCTTTTTGTAGCATAATTAGTTTGATATTTTGTTCCAAGTTTTTAGTTTGTTACATAAATTTTTATTTCACCCAACACAAGCCTTCGAGAGCCATCCCCTCCTAAACTCGATTTCACCCATCAGAGCCTACCTTTGGGACCATGGTACTCCTTTGTTTAAAACTTTTTTGTTCTCTATTTTGTCTCTTTTAACCATGAGCACGCTTGTTGAGTGATTTAGTAATTTTTAGGACTAAACATCAGATTCACCTTTAGGGACCGCGGGTTCAGTTGTGCCATCTTGGGTTCTCTGAAAGAATGTTCTGCAGAGCCCGGGCTGGCACATCAGAATCACGCGAGTGACATTTTTGTTTTGTCTTGACATCAAAATAATAATATCATTTATATTAAACATTTATTTAAATTTAACTAACAATAAATTAAATCTTTAAATTCAATAACAAATTTTGATCTCCGTTAACTTCCAATCCCTCGAATCACACTCGGAGAAACATGTTCCACACTGAGGTGAACGCACCTCCTTCTGTTGACATTTGACAAGTCAAAGTCTTCAAGTGTCGCTTGTCAACACTGTCATGTGGAAACAGTTAAACAACTTGAACCAAAATGAAGAGAGAAATTTAAATTTGAAAATATTAATATTAATAAAATTATGATTTAGCAAGTTGTAAATATCCCGAAATATATAATTTTGGGAGTGAGGATGACCAGGAACTTGTTGGATACGTTGTGGACAGTAGGTAGACTTTTTCATAATTATAATGTATATAAAACATATAAAAAAAAACCTTCAGTTTTTTTACTTTGGCCTTCTGCGTTTTACTTTCTGCATATCAAATATTGTATTCTAGATTCAAATTTCAATATATCTTCCACAGTCATCCTCTAATTGTAAATTTCTTTAAATTTTAACTAATTTGTTAACCTTTTTTCAATTTTGTGAATAGTGAGGGTGGCATGATTCCTTAATTCCACACAAGCTAACTTGCTTCTGGAGATCAGATTTGATTTGTAAGGGCTTATCCCACACTCACTATTCCCAATACCAGTTTTTTGTCACTTTGTTTGTTTCTTGTAATTTTTTAATTTGTTCAAACAATTGTATATATACTATTTTAACTTTTGACTTAAAAGTCTAATTCAGATTTTATAATATATATTTTTTTTAAATCTTTTTAAATTGTAAGTTTACATCCACAATTTTTGTAGATGAGCACTGATGATGGCAAATAAGCCGAAAGCGCTTTGCATTGATTAATAAAAAAGTTTTGCACGAAATACAAGTTTTTCCTTTTGAATCTAAACTACGTGCACACAGCTGTCAACCTTTTTTGGTTTTTTAATAAATTTTTATGACAACAAATTTTTTATTTAAATAAAAAAAACTATTTCGATAATTATTTTATTTTATTTTAATACACTAAACTAATATTACATATAATTGATCTGGTTCTAAATCTGAATGAAAAATATATTTAGTACTATAAATAACAGAAACACTTGAAATAAAAAAGTAAATTGATTTAATTACCATATGAAGAACATAATATGTACCTAAAGATAACCCAGAAGCTGAACAGTACTTCATACACAGGATTTGACTGTTCTGAATACGGTATATTGGTGTAGAAAATTATTTTTTCTACACCCGTATTATAATAATGCACTTATATGCCCATAATCCGTTTCATAATGATACCCATTATGATACAGATTTTTCATTACGATACAGATTTTTAATCAATAGAAACCTACAATTTTTCAATCAAGCATGCTGTTTGACGTTTGTCCTAGGTTCCTATGTAATTATTTTAGTTGTCAAAACGTATTAAATTTTCGTAGGTAGCTAAACTTCGATAATTATAATATTAAAATGTCTGATATTAGCGATATAGAAGACTCCTCCACACATATCGGAGAAAGCAGAAAATACAGTACAAAATATTTTACCGCAAAAATCTAGGGAAATACCAAAACCTGAAGTAATACCATTAATTACAATTTTGTAGAATTTTTTATAGAAATACGAGTAATTACTGTTATTGTGTTCAATACCAATATAAATATAATATTTATAGGTCTTGATTATTTATCGGGTGTAGAAAAAATAGCGTATGCAACTCTCATGTAATGGTTATTAAAACACTCGCATAAACCATACGAAACTCGCCTTTGGCTCGTTTCGTATCCCGGTTAATGCTCGTGTATTAATAACCATCATTACATGATCGTTGCATAATATACTATTATAGAGATTAATAAGAATCGCATATTTATTTACAAAAATTATGAATAGCTGTTGAAATTACTCTACGATACGACACTATCAGACAAACCGTTCCCTTAAATTCACGAAGCTGTGAGCCGTTCGACATTTTCCCCCTCTCTACGTACCAAAGTACTGTTTAACTTCTGTATTTAGTATACTTTTAATTCAAAAAATAAATTTTGAAATCTTTTATGTATGTAGGTGTTTGGTAAGGCATTTGCCACTCGATCCCTAATAACAGTAGCTCCTACATCATCAGCCTCTTCATCACCATGTTCATCATCTTGTTCCTCAACTGGATTTGGAATAGGTGGCAAATCTTGTTGATCATTATTTAAAGGCAAATTCTCATCTAGGGCTATATTGTGTAGAGTACACGCTGCTCTAATAAAATGACACAATATTGTTATGTTTCGCAGTTTCAAATGGTACAGCTGTCTGAATTTTTGTTTCAGCAATCCAAAGGAGTGTTCGATGACAGCGATTTCTAGTTAATTTCAGATTATAGTTTTGTTGCCTCCTTGTCAGGTTACCTCTATCTTTATATGGCGTAAGTAAGTTGGGTATCCGCTGTCCCCCAATAAAAAATATCTTCCACATTTTTCTTCTAAGGTGTTTTTTAAAGGTGAATTTCTGAACACCCGTGAGTCATGCACGGATCCTGGGTATCCAATGAATATATCAATTATTTTTCTCCTGTGATCACACACAGCTTGAATCTAAAATGAACAAATCAAAAACTAAAATAATTTCAACTACCTCAAAAAAGGAAATACTTTATAGCTATATTTAAAAAAAATGTATTGGGGTTGGGTTAGGGATAAGCTTTAGCCTACGTGTATTGAGTAATATCCTTTTCGATTAATATAAGAGTCTGGATCATTTCCAGGCTTTTCAATTTTAATGTGGAACCCATCGATTGCCCCTATAACATTTGAAAACCCATTTCTCCTGAAATGATCTTCTGAAACACGTTTTTCACCATCGTTGGGACATTTTATTATTTCCCTTAACATGTTACTTAAAAATAGGGTAACACGTCGTACTATTCTATTCACAGAACTTATTGTTATATTAAATCGATCGCCTACGTCTCGAAAACTTGCAGTTTGATGGCCCACATACCATTAATAGATAAATACCTAAAATACAATAAAAAAATTAGGTTGCATAGAAACTTACATTGTAGGAAAGACTTTTTTGCTTTTTGCATTTAAAACTAACTTGATCTAAGGCAGGAATACTACCATATTGTCCAGGTTGAGGATGAAAATACTGGCTACCTCCAAACACCTCTGCTATATAATTTACCCTCTCTCTCGATAAACGGAAGTGTTAAAAAAAAAATTTTTTAGAATAGTAAGTGACTGTATTCTCTAAAAAGAATATGGAATACTTATGAACTTGTAAAATTATCAAATGGAAACTACCATTCAATTTGTATACTTATAACTGCTTACCTAAATAGTTTTCGTTTTTAACTCTTTCATTATGTAGCTGCATATCATCGCTACTTTCTGAATCGGAGAAAAAATCACTTATACCACCTTCATCGTCACTCATGTTTAAAGAAATCAAAAAATCAAATAGACACTTATTGAACACTACAAAATACAACTTTTAAAACAAAACGATTTAAGTAAACAAATATGACAAATGAAACAGCTGTGTAAAATCATAATGCATTGGCAGATGCTTAATGCGCAAGTCAACCCAAACAGTTCTTAATTTGAGCCACGTACCGATATTACTGTTCTGAAACCGTGACATAAACGATCCCAAGTTAGGTTGGTACACAAACAGGATCGTTCGATAACTGTCACGTGTCGGTTGGAACGCAATAAAATCACTGCGCATGGGCGTGATCGTTCAAAGGCGATTTTTTGATCGGTTGGAACAAACCTTATATGTAAGAAGTTTTCGGTTCGGTTCCCATAGAAACTGTTTGAACAATTGGTGCTGGGTGATCCAAGAAAGGGAAAAGTCAGAATCTTCTGAAAAATGTTCTTAATAACGAAAGAAAATTAGTTATTTCCATTTTCCGGTTGATTTTCGTGGTAAAATCATAACGCTGAGGTTAGTTTTTCCCCTGAAAATGTCGCTGAAGTGCTTTGAAGAAGAAAAGGCACATATTTCTTCAAGACAAGAAATTCGATTCTTCGATCTGTGCATGAAAGTAGTATTTTTGCGCTAAAACATAGAAAATGAGATCTCAGGCAACAAAAAACTTAAATATTTTGCAAAATATTAGTATCATGAAAGGCCCATAAACTTTAAAAAAGTTCT